AATAGGAAGTGAGCCTGAAAGGTACTCGAAACTGCAATTTTTTGCTCTGAAAATTGCCGATCAGCTAATGAAACAGATCAGCTAATGCCTTTTAGCACCATACGACTGACTCACAATTGTGAGTCGAACCCGTACTTTCTCAGGCAACCTTGTGTCTTCAAAAATCAAAAAACCTCATTTTCATGAGATCTAAAAAGAATTCCGTTCCGTATGTTCAAATCCCTTGATTCGGAAACAAAGAACTCATTAATTTAGGTCAACTGATCGCATTCTCGACAATGCCCGGAAGTGGTTCAACGGCTTTCTCCGCGCTGATTCAATCCTCTGATCCAACCACTCGTAACATACTTGTGCTCAGTGAGATGGATGCGCTCAGTGCGATTGCTGTTCATTTGGCTGACTTCTCGTGGACACTTCAAAAAATTCGATCACTGCTCCTTGCTTCACTACGTTTCATCACTAAAGATCAACTCCCGGATCAAATGATTATCCTCAAAATGAGGTTCTTCGATTTCGTTTCGATATATCTATCGCTTCGTTTCATTTCTTTCAAAACTTTGCCATTGTTTTCTCGCTTCTCAATGATTTCATCACAGAAAACATGGAAATAGGGGTTTATATTGCTCACCTTTACTCGAGTGTACTTCTTAGTTTCGATTTTATTTTCTGAGAGCGTCGTCAACACCGTCAGAGATTTCAAAACATGTCATGTTCGATAAATTGCATCTTCACACGAAAATGCGATGAACTTGAGAACTGCAATCAGAAAGTATTTATTAAAAGTACAGCAGCGTCAAGATTAATGACTAACATCTGTCTCAAATAATCAATCACTGAACAAACAGGAGACATCTGAGATGTATGACACTTCTCGCACAGCGGAAATCCCCGTCTAGAAAGAGGCAATAATTGATGATTTTGTGAAGCAGCACAGAAATTTTTCCTAGAAACAATTCAAATCTGCTGACCAATTTCAGCTGAATTGATAGCAACAGCACACATCAATTATCGATAGAATTAATCTTTTATTTAATCTGACTCATTAATAACCAAATTGTTCATGATGACAGTCATAATTCGCAAATAACATTCGGAAAAATGCGTTTTCATATATGCCATTGTTTCGAAGTGCTCTTATAATGATTTCCTGATGATCTGAAGCGGTGATATCCAGCCTTTTACAGTCTATCGCCAGACTGGTTTGAGATGGCTATCAAAGCACCCTCCCTCATAATCATTCAATGTTCGTCGTCAAGGCTGAGAAGAAAACATTGCAATATTTTTTGAGAAGTTTATTCAATTCGGCCAAATTGATCTCTCCATATACCGTTTTCGCTCAGTGGCGGGCGGGCTAGTCCAGAAACAAACCAATGGAAAATTGATAATGGATTATGAGGAATGACTAAAGTCTTGTGCAGTCATGCCCTTGACGGCGCATGCAATAGTTCTTTGCATATGCACTTCAGTTAGTGCCTGAGTTGTTCTCAAATTATTTCTCAACGTTTTCTCCAAGAGG